GGCTGGGTCGGCATGGCCTGCCACAGACCATGCCTTTGTTTCTGGTGGCAGAAAAAAGCAAAGTAAAGCAGCCAGAGACCTTTCAGAGAGTCTTCACATGAAAAAAGGGAAACTCCAAAATAAAGAGTTATCGAGGCACCCAGGCCCCGCTTTATGCTGGTGAGGCAGGGAGGGGAAGCATGCCAAGGCAGAGCACAGGGGCTGGCGAAGGAGCCAGGCAGCACGGTGCACTCTTCTCCTCGCCCTTGCGGTTTCGAGCGGTTTTATCACTGCCTCCACATCTCTTTTGTGGTTTTGGTCTGTACAGCCCGACGCTTTGCCGTGATGGGCTGGGGGCAAGTGCAGGACTTCCCCGGCTCCGCTCAGGAAACCACCAGCTGATGAGGTTCGCTGAGCTGATTACGCTCAGGGTTTACAAGCTTTATTAGGACACCTCTGGGAGGGGAAAATGAAGACATCGCTTGAGGCTTGTGAGGGCCAGCGGTCTCGTGCCATTCTTCCCTCCCCCGTCTCCTTTGATGCCGTTGTTCATTGCAAACCAGAAAAGAGAGGAGGCAGAGCAGTCTCTCCCACAGATTACAGGGAAACCGGGGTGGCGCAGCCCCCTACCCCCCACCAGCCAGCAGGATGTGGCAAACGTTCCCGGTGCCACCGACGTGGCAAATGTGGCGGGTCACCAGGTCCCAGCGGTGAACATAAACCCACAGGTCTCTGCAGCACGCTCTTCACTCCAAACAAAGACACCGAGTGCCAATGTCTGCCTGAACCGGGATTTCCATATTTCCTATCCATAGCGGTGCCGTGCCGGCGCCTCGCTGCCTGCTCCCTTGCAACCTGCTACGGCCGACCCACCGTGGCCGAGCCCTGCACCGGAGCCTCCTGCCGCCTGCTCCGGGAGCCCGTGGGCTGAGATCGCCAGCATGGCCCTCGCCTGTCTGCGCTCCCCGACTCGCCAGACCCAGCCTTGCAACACTTCATCACGGGGCACGAAAGTGGCACCGAGTGACAGACAACTCTCCTCCTCTCTCCCTCTCTGGCCTGGCTCAAAGAGGAGAAACACGGGCTCGAGTGCTGCTTTTATGCAGTTACAGACAACAGAAAACACTCAGGCATGCAAGACATGCGTCCTGGGTCCAGCGAACGGCTCCTCGAAGCCCAGCGGACTCCCGTAGCATCACGGCTCTTTACAGGGGAGAGGGGTAGGGAAGGGGAGGAGGGAATGTGGTCCGGAGCTGAGCAGCGGCGGGTGCTGGCAAGCAGAGGTGCAGAGGAGAGCAGCGGCAGGTACACGTACAACTGAGAGGCTGATGTCTGACCTGTTCATATTTCTCCAGCTCTGTGTGATAGATTTGTCTGATCTGGGTCAATTTGGCTCTGTAATCTGAGTGTTCAATAGAGTTATCTGAAGACCCTCCAGAGGCTGCTGCGGCTGCAGCTGCTGCCGCCGATCCCCCACCTTTCTCCGGACCTGAGACTCCTTCTGCCAGAAGCATATTGTCTAGTCTCATTAGCTGGGGATCGGGAGGGTCTTCCTCCTGGGCTCCTCGGATGCTCAAACCTTGGGCAGAAAAGAGAGAACAAGAGAAAACACAGTCAGTATTTCTTGCATCTGCCCGGCCGCTGCCCGCTCGCTGCACGCCTGTGAGGAGCCCTCCTGCAGAGCCCTCCTGCCCCGCAGGGCCACGGGGACCGGACCTGCCCACGGCCCTTCCTCCGTCCCTGCGGTGGTACCCAAACGAGCACCCTCCTCCAGGGCAGGCCCCATGCACCGCAGCCCAGGCAGGTGCTGTGGGGTGATGGCAGTGCTGTAGGACCCTCTCGGTTCACATACAGAGCAGGAACATCAGGAGGCTTTTGAAGGACCCTGCAGAATCTTTAAATACCTCATTGTAAGTATTAAAGGAGTATTCGCATGAGTACAGAGACATACACCTTCCGGTTGTTTTCCAAGACAGAGCTAAATCTACACAAGGCTGGCATTATCCTATATATTATATCACTTTGATGCAAGGCCGTGTGGTAAAAGTAAGTGCATTATTTATTTGGAAATAATTGATTTGCTTCTCATTTCCTTCCAAATGGATCTAAGCACCACGTTACTCTTACGGAGACTTGTACCACTGGATTTCACCCCTCCTGCGAGGTCCAAGCGTTGGTTTAAAATGCCTGGAGAAAAAGCTGCCACTTGCTCCTCAACTACAGGAGACTTCAGGCAAAAAGCAGGGAGGTGCTGCGGCTCCCACCGGCACAAATCCTGTGGACGCAGCCATTTCCATGAGTGCCCACGGTCTCTGGCTCCACACAGGTGGAGCTGAAATTTCACATTGGAGGAGGAAAATGGTGGAGACAGAGCTGGGGGCATGGCCTTGGGAATGGCTGCTGTGGGAGCGGGGTGCGGAGGCTCCGGCGGCCCCTTGCTCAGGGCTGCCCCGCTCCTCTGCAGGGCAGTACGCTGCTCCACAGCGTCTGCTCACAGACTGAGGATAGACAAGAAGGAATCAAACTTCCCCTTGCCATGCAGGACTTTGGTTGCTATCGTGATGCCAGGATACTGAGTATGTGTTTAAAATCGCCAGTGCTCTTGCACTGTATTGTTGGGAACGAGATTTTAAATGTAATTTTTGTTTTAAATCGAGAATTTCCAAAGCGATGCTCAGTCAGCAATCTCTTCTGCGTCCTATAGATCAAGGCTGACAATTTGTAAGTTTAATCAGGCCATGCAGGCACAGTCTCAAGCTGTTATCAACAGTGCCGAAAAGAAAGTTTAAAAATAATTACAGTAGTACAAAAATCACTAGAGCCATGGCTTCTTGAATCAACATGTCCATTAGAGATGTAATGCAACCAGTACACCCCAGCCCAATTAACCTCTTTAAATCTGTTTAAGAGCAGGTATTCATGCTCTGGATAGAGCGGCTCCCCAGGGGTCTGCCGTTGGCACCCCGTGTGTTTTCACGGGCGCCTGTGCCTGTCTCCGCTCCTCGCAGCGGTGCGGGCTCCGAACGGGCTGCGCCAGACATGGCAGCACCATCCACAGCTGCCACGCATGCAGCTGAACACCAGCGATGCTGCTTTCTGCACTAGCTGCGAACAGCAGCCGCTCCCGTACAAACAGATTTCACCCTCGGTGTCCCAAACCCCACGCACAGCGGGAGATGACCCCCGGACTGGCCAACCTTCCAGACTCAAGAAAGCACAGCATTAATTTTGCTCTAAAATACACATTTTAAACCTGCCACGTTCATTTAAAACTAAAATTCCATATAATTTCATGGGAATAATAAAAATGTCTCATCATCTCTTTAAATTATTTCTGTTGCCTGTTCAGAGGTCCACAGATGAGCACGGTTTGACAATACAACACATCGTCCCGGCGCGCCCCTGGGCTGGCACACACATGTTGGGGGCAGCCCTGCCACGGCTCCGGCCACGCGTGCTGCTGCCTGAGCACACGGCCAGGGAGGGCGATGCCGCACTCGGGGGTCCCCGCCGCAGGAGGGGTGGTGGTCCCCGGCCAAGGGAGCTCTGTGCCCACCCCAGCTGCACGGAGCCGGCACGGCTGCGTCGGGACTGCTCTGTCCCTCACCCCCTCTTTTCCCTTGGACTCGCTGCCCTTGCTCTTACACAACTCCTGGCCCATGCGGTGCTGCTAATAGGGGGATGATTTTTCTGTATTGTTTTGGTGAGCCGTTCCTCCTGTTTATCTTATTCCTCCTCTGCTCTTGTGTCAGTATGTTTAACAATGTTCTGGTTTTAATCCACTCCAGCTCCCGTTCCCTTCTCATGAATGATTTCTACTGTTGTTTCTTCTTTTTGCTTCTGGACCATTTCTCAGTCCATGTTTCCTGTGCTCGATTCCAGCTGGTTTTCCCCCGCTGCATTTCTGCTATGAAACTCATCCACCCTCCCAGTATCACAGTAGCAGTCCCACTCTGCTCCCCTGATGCTGCAAGATGCCAGGCCAAAATCTGCAGTACAATAATTTGGTACAATTGCTGCGATTTCTGCATCATTTACTTCCACGAACAGGCCAAAGATGAAAGGGCTTTGTCCAAAATGACACTATCCATCCAGACCTAAATTAATATTCAAAATCCCCAATCCTCCTTGTACAAATCTGACAAAGGACAGCAAGCGTTCCCCGAGGTTTAAATGCAAAAGCTGATGCCTGCACTGGAGACTGAAGGAGCCGGTGAGAGGCCCTGAAGCACAAGAGGAAGAAATTCAGCATATAAGGACAATGACGAAGCCACTAAGGTGTCTCGCACACAACCCTAATGCATATCTCCGCAGCCAGTGACAGAGGGGTTGGCATACTGTGTTCATCTTAATATTAAGTAACACTCCCGCATCCGAAGCATCCAGTCCAGAGCGCGTGAGCCTGCAGACAACCCACAGACAAAGGAATGACAAAGTGTGTGTGTGGGGATATAACATTTATTTTGCCCCTGAGTGAGACGCATCATTCATTTGAATGGCAAAGCCACAAGTTGATTAACTGATTCTAACACGAATTAAGCTGTGTGTTAATTCAGATCTTTCCTTATGAACTATACGAAGCAGATCAGCACAACTAATAGGGTCTGGTGTGCCTGGGGGCGGGGGACAGTAAAACTGATGAACTCCTCTGCAATCAGTGAAACACGCAGCTCTTCGGCAAGTTGCAGCGGCTGCCTCGGCTGCAGGTCGAACGCTTTTAATGTTGTCTGAGGAGTCAGAGCATCTCCGGGGCTCCTCAGCAAGGAGGAACACTCTCGCTATCCGCTGGCAACACGTCGGCTCCTACCAGCACCTGCCTTTATAAATTACTCTTCGTTTGAATACAGTGATAATATATGTATTTTTTGACATATAAGCTCACACTCGGTGGCTATTGTTTCCCTTTTTTATTCCTCAGTATATCAACCTATGAGTTTATTACTGTTTAGCTCACTGACCTTTCAATGCATTGTGGAATTAAGGTGCAGAGCGGACGGGAAAGAACACAACAATACATCACTTCCAGCGGAGCTACCGGCGCGCTAATGGCAGCGGAAGTGAGAGGGCCCCAGTGCGGCAGCGGCCGCCCGGCGGCACGCTGACCAACGGCAAATCCCCCCATCAATAAGGCGCTGGAGGGACGGGACTGCCTCGTGGAAGTACGGCCGCGGTCCACTATTGTTCGCTAACGGCTTATGGGCATTTGGGTCTGCACAGTATTTAAAATCCAGCATCCTTGGTGACAATAGCGCATTATAAGTTAATAAAAAGCATGTGTGCTACTGATTTTAATCTGCTTATAACTACAACGTTCATTTCAGTATCTCGATGATTTAGACAAATCACATAAACAGACACTAAAACATTGTTTAACAATGAACTTGGCTTTGTTATAAGACCAGTTTTAGCATATCTTTCAGCAAATCCTAATTAGCTGTCTTTCAACATGCTGTGCACCTGCCCCCACACATAATAGACGAGAGCATCTGCATAGACTACTGCATTCAGAGGCCAATAAATAAATTGCAGGTCAAAATTATTACAAAGCTTTCTTCGAATAAACCCATCTCCTTCACAATACAAAGCTGCAGATATGAAAAGTACCTAAAGCCCACTCAAATGGTATGATTACAGGGGCCGTTGGAGTTTAATAATCTGACTGTAATTCAGGCATTTTCAACAGCTCATTAAGGGTTCATTAATATATGGTCAAGCTTTTGAATTATAAATAAGCAGATTAGAAACCTGCAGTGTCTGAACTGTACAGTAGCATCCTCGCCAGCAGAGTAATACTGCAAACACAACGAAGGGCTGACCCAGGAGAGGCGAGGTAGAGGCGCAGGGCGCTGCCTCACCCCCCTGCCTCCTCCCTCCCGTTTATTCCCCCGCGGGCTGGGGGAAAGGTCCCCGTACCCACTCAGGGTGCTGGCCCTGCCCGGCGTGACCCCGGCCCCCACGGCAACTCCCCGAGCGTGGGAGCCCCTCAGCCACTGGTGGGAAGGCCCCCGTGGGGTTTCGGCCCCTGCACACCGCAGACCG